AATAAGTTTATAATTTATAACTGTTCTTGAAAATTTATTGAAAATTTTGAAATTAAAATATTTATGTAATCTTATATGGTATATAATTTAATCTGTATATATATTTGTTTTATTATTGAATGATACTTTTACTTATATGGTTTTAAAATTATGTATATCTTTTGATAATAAAAATGTTAAACTATTGATCATTAATTTTAACATAATAATTTTAATAGTTTAGTTATTTATTCTCGTTTTTAAAAATTCAAAATATAACTTATACGAAAAAATCTAAAGTTTAATTTTATAGCTAAGTTTGTTTAATTTATTTTAATAATATAAAATTAAAGAAAAATGATGGAGGATATATAAACTGTTATCAAATATTTATTATTAGAATCATTAAGTGTCATATATATATTAGTCATTTATGGTAATTCCGTAGGTTTTATTTATGGAAAGAAAATAAAATAGTAATTATATATAGGGGAACAATCATTAAGTGTCATATATATATATTAGTCATTTATGGTAATTCCATAGGTTTTATTTATGGAAAGAAAATAAAATAGTAATTATATCTAGGAAAACAATCATAAATACTTCTATCATAAATATCATATCATATCATTATATCATATAATTTGACCAATGAATGTATCTAACGACATATAAAAATCGAATGTGGACATACTTATTTTTTCAATTGAATGTAATTGAATACCTAATTGAGTGACACCTAAGCATGGGGTCTTTTTTAATTATTACAAAATTGAGGTTACAATTTTTTAAATGTTTATTCTTTAATATATAAGGGATATTTACGATTTGCATATATCAATTTTAACATAAATTCCCAAGTTAACATATTAAGTTTTACATTTTACATATACACTTGCCTTTACCATTAAGTATATACTTGGTCACAAAGTAATTTCCATTTTACATATACACTTCCATAAATTAAAAGGAATGAAGTTATTATAGTTAATATATGCAAATCGTTATCAAATCGTATATTTTCCTTTTCTTTCATTACATGCGTGCGATATATATAAATATATAAACTATGTTACATGCGTTATATGCGTCTCTAATTATTTTTCCCTAGCAAATTTCAATTGAACCTAAAGCTGCCACATCAGTTTAATTGGTATGCTAATTGATTGACAACTAAGCAAGGTTACTTTTTAATTAATACAAACTTGAGGTTACATCTTTTCAAATGTTTCTCAATTAATATATAGGGGATTTCAATTAAAAATTGATATAAAAATATGGATATTCGGATATTCTAATCAGGTATGAATAGAAATCAACAAAATCTGGATCTTTTGAATAAATATGTTACGACCGATATAGATTCTCAAAGAGTTATGTTCGGGTTTGGTTGATTTGAAAGGGAACTAAATAATAATTCCCTTATTCAACTATAAATTATCTCATATATATTTTTAATGTAAACAATAACAACATAAATAGATATGAACCATATATTTGTAACCTACTTAAAAAAAAAAAATTCACAAATTCTATAGCCCACAAATAATACATAGTAGACTAAATATTCTACAAAGCCGACAAAAAAAAGAAGACTAATTATTCTACAAAGAGAAAATTCCTTAAAAATATACAGACTAAATTTCATTTGATAATAAAATACATAAATTATTTGGATTCCCGTTTAATATATGAATTAACTTTCGTTGCCTATTAAATACATAAACTTTTGAAATTCGCAATTTTTACACATCATATCATTTTAGACGGCGGGGGTGATTGGTTCGGATTTAACTTAGCACTTTAGTTTTTTTTTTTTTTAAATCACTAACTCTTATCAATCATGTTGTAGCTTTAGTTTTCAAAATTAAAATCTACAGCAAAACTTAAAAACCTTTTGCCAATCAGAATGTAGCTTAATTTTTTTAAGATACAACAAAAAAGATAGAACTTTAATTTTTCTATTTGTTTTAGACAAAAATTCTACATCCTTATTATTTGGGCTGTAGAAGAAAAACAATCTCATAACTGAAAAAAAGAAAAGTACCCTTATTAATTGGGCTGTAGAAAAAATAATCTCATAACTGAAAAAAAAGAAAATTACGTGCATATGACATACATACGTATGTATATATATATATATAAGTCAAATATTTAATATATTAAAAACAATGATAATCCTTGATCATAAACTAATAATTTAGAGCCACGTATTTAGTATATTCAACAAATGGTCGATTTTTGACAATACATGAAAAGTTTTCGAGATGAGATTGCAATTAATTTATGGAATTTTCTTAGATGAATTTTATTATTATTATTTAGATGGTGTTTTTCCTTTGACTTTTATTTTAGATGGTTTTTATTTTATTTTAAAATAATTTAATAAATTATTCTTTTTAATATAGAAAAGATCTTTTTACAGTTACAGTACATTTTATCCAATCATGTTTTATTTTACAAAAGTACAGCCAATAATTTACAGCTACAGTTATCATAACTACAACAAAAATCTCTGCAAAAAATCTACTTTAGTAAATATACAGCTACATTCAATACACTTACAATACAACTTCTACAGTTAAATTTTTACAGTTACAATCTAACCAATCACCCCCGGCGTTAACTATATTTAACGGACGTGACAACATTAGAGTCTAATTAAACACGTGTTTAAATTGTGAAAATAAAATTCCTTATAAATACATGAACAAATTTTCATGTGCTAATAAAATATACGGACTATTTTGGATTCTCGTTTTATACACACACTAATTTTTGTTTTTATTAAATACTTTTTAAAAATTGCCGATTTTACACAGTAATTTGGACGAAGTTGAATATGTTTAATAGAAGATGACGTTAAATTTAATTAAATACGTGGTTAAATAGTGAAAAGAACGCTCACCATCAATCAGAACCTCTCAAATCGATTGAGTTCTAATTCAAGTTAGTTTCAATTCGTGTTTGATACCTAAATCTGTTCCAACTTCTTATATTCTCTAAACTCTGCTCTTTTTTTCCACTTTAAATCGTTTCGAAGTGGAGTTAATTTCTATGTCGTAGAAATTTTTGATTTTGGAATAGTTTAATGTTATGTATTTCTTACACTTATTCTTCACTTTGAGTGTAGTGATAATGATTCAATCAAGGTTAACTTAAAGAGACAATTAGTGTAATACCCTTAACTGAGATCCATATTAGAGGGTTGTCCCTTGATGGACATTAATTGTCCAAATCATACAATTATGCTTGAAAATGCCTAAAATGCCATTCTTTAACTGAAAAATTTTCTGCTGGTAACAGAGAAATGTCAAGACAGAAACATGTTGTCCACATGTGTTGCTTGATTTTTTTAAATGCTAAAAATATTATCAAATAATAATATTTTTGAATATATAATATAAAGTATTATTATAGATAAAATAATTTAATATTTGATATAATTGAAAAAAATAAATTACAATTGATTACAAGATTTCAACATCTCTAAAATCTATAATTTGTTATAAATTCGATATTAGTGTTAGAGTAATTGTTAGCGGTTAACTCATTTGTTAACTGATACATGTTTTGTTACCTGATAAATTTACTCAGTTTGAGAGACAAATTGAAACTTCAACAATATTTATTTGTTAACATATAATACTTAACGCATGTATTGACATCTACATAATTGTTTACACTTAACACCTCTGTTAACAATTATGTTACATGTATTTGTTAACGGATAAGACATCTGTTAACATCTACAAAATATATTAGTGAGTTAACAAAATTTGTAACAAGATATAAAATTTGAAACAAGATACAAAAGTTGGTTAACATGTCACAAATGTTAACTTTATAAATTATATGTTAAGATACTTATTTGATATCAAACTCAGTGTTATTTGTAATGCGTTAAATTAGGTTTTAGTTGCAACTTTAACACATATAACAAACATAGATATAATATTTTCTTTAACCAGAACGACACTAGAAAACATACAAATGAAAATAATTAGAAAAACGGATGAGACAAAACTAGGAAAACAAAACGAAACATATAGAAGATCTAAAGAGGAAATGAGGGAGAAAAAGATGATTAAAAGAGGAGATGAAGGAGAGAGAGAGTTTAAAAAAAATTGGTAGGCTGACATGCCTAAGAGTGTAGAAAGAGAGGGGCAGAAGGGCATTTTGGTTATTAACTTAGAAATAGTCAAATCATAGGTAATTTGTTAACTAGGGGGTGATTTATGGTATGCGAGCAAATAATCTCTAACTTTTACTATAATCAATAAGTTTAGTGTTATGAAATAGACTGTACATATATTCTTTTTATTATTACCAATAAATTTGAAATTTCATAAAAAAAAATTACACTATGGAGCTGATATATGGTGTTTTTAGCATATTTTAATAATGTTTTCTAAAGTGTTTTTGAGTCTTTATCGAGTTTTTTTCTAGTCCTTTCTGAGTCATTACAGATCTGGAGTTGCTTTGGATAGAAGATGGACCACTTGGAGGAAAATAGTGCAATTTGATGATTTTCACGAAGAACAATCTGCTGGACTGTTCCCGAGTGAGCGGAGCAACCCGATTGCATGTTCATGCGGAATATATTTTTATGGAAACCCTAATTATTTCGAGATTTGCCCTAGTTCTCCTATTTTTCCTCTCCAGCCGCCAGCAGCCTCCATATATCTTATTTTCCTCTTTTCTATTATTTAGTACGCTAGTTTTTACAGAAGAAACCAGATTTGAACTTTAGGAGATTTGTGATTTCATACTTTGTAATTTTGAGGGAGAAGGATCTTTACAACCTTTGGAGAAGATTTCTGAACCCTCTTGCTTATTATTTATTGATTCAGCAATGTTTTCTTCATCTATTATCTCTGTGTTTTCTCTGTTCATGGCTGAGTAGCCAGCTTGCTTAGTCTAGGGTGTTAGGATGTTTAGATCCATGAGCTAAATACAAATAAGGTTCATTATTTGATTGTCTCCATTCATATTTATACTTACTGCCTGCATTAAACTAGCTACTTAGTGCATGATTCTAGGTTTAATCTATTCATCAAAAGTGTTTTAGGTTGCTAAAAATAACTTGAATGGCTAGCGAAACTGATCTTAATGTTTGCTTTCATGTTTTAGTCCAAACGAGAGTTTAGGTATTAAGGCTGATTGTTAAAAGGGGAGATACCACGAGAGTGGGTCAATCTTTATTTGTCTTTTGAGTTCTAGACTTGTGCTTAATAAAACCTTGAATAGATGTTTGGCTCATGATCGTTTGACATCCAATCCTTCACTCTAGGCTAGCATTCTCTTTAATCTGAAACCTAAATCAATCTTTGTTACGATTTCTTATTTTAAAACCTCTATATTGTTTTAGCTTAATACTGATCCTATAGAAATAAAGTGTAATCTTTGGTCTTCGTGGATTCGATTCTCAAGTACTACATCGAATCTGTTATTTGAGAGAGTAGCTTGAAGGTTAATTTGAGCATATCATAAGCATAAGGAAAAATAAATTAACAATATAATCAATGGAGAGGATTTTAAAGCAATTTTCTTTCACAGTATAGCCACATGTTTAATTAAACACTAACATCATTTGTGTTAAACATAGTTAACATAGTCTAAATCAGGTTAAACATAGTTAATATTGTCTAAATTGATGTGTAAAATCTACAAATTTAAAAAGTTTCTGTATCTAAAGGAAAAAAAATAATTCGTGTATTAAACAAGGATCTAAAATAGTTTATGTATTTTTAAGGAATTTTCTTTTCATAATTTAAACACGTGTTTAATTAGACTCTAACGGTATCGTCACTTTCGTTAAATATAGATAATGCCGTCTAAAACGATGTGTAAACTGTGAATCCTAAAAGTTTATATATTTAATAGGTAACACAAATTAGTTCATATAGTAAATGGAAATCTAATTTACAAATGAAATTTAGTGGGTGTATTTTTAAAGAGGGGTAACTGGACCTCTTAGGAAGCCAATAAACTTAAGATGTGAGGCCCATTATATACGGCCCACTAATAAAAATACACCGACTTAATTTAAGGAAATGGTACTCTTCTTTAAATCCAGTGTTGTTCTTCCCCGTCCATCCAGAAACCCTAAAATCTCCATCAATAACGTCGGAGGATTAAAAAAACTCTTTACGCAGATTCTCTTACAGCCTATTCGGCGATGAAGACAGAGGAAGTGAACCGGTGCCAGATTCAGAACTGGTACCCGAAATTCAAATCCCTAACCATCAAAACCAAACTCCACAAGCTTCCAGAGTCTTTCATCAACTACCTCCTCGACGACTCTGTTCCTTTCCTCCTCCCTTCCTCCGTAACCAACGAGAACGCAATGCCCAACAGAGTCCACAACCCCGAAGAAGAACAAGACGACTTCCAAGTGTCCGAATCCGACAACGAAACAGAACCTCCACCGTCGTTCCCAGAGCTAGAACTCAAGATTAAAGAATCAATCGAAGCCCTAGGCGGTTCGGTTTTCCCGAAACTGAACTGGAGCGCACCAAAGGACGCAGCTTGGATAAGCCCACAACAGAATCTCAGCTGTTCTTGTCTCAGCGACATCGCTCTCTTGTTCCGTTCTTCAGATTCGTTGCTTCATGACCTCTGCAAGGCGTATGATTCTTGTAGCGATAAATCCTCGTCGAGGCCAGAGAGTTTCTTCCTTGCTTTGAGGAAATGGTATCCTTCTTTGAATCCCGAGATGGAGTTTCGTTGCTTTGTTAAGTCGAATGAGCTTGTCGGGATTTGTCAGCGTGAAGTGACGACGTTTTACCCTGTGCTTGTTAATGAGAAGGAGTTGATTGAAGAGTTGATTGATGAGTTTTTTGAGGATAATGTTAGGATGGTGTTTGAATTGGAGGATTATGTGTTTGATGTTTATGTGACGAAGGAGAGGAGGGTTAAGGTTGTGGATTTTAATACTTGGTGTGGGTCGACTTTGCCGTTGATGTATAGTTGGGAGGAGCTTGAGAGTAGGGTTGGTGGTGAGTTGGAGTTGAGGATTGTTGAGAGCCGTCTCGGTGTGATGCCTGGTTTGAAGACGGCGGTTCCTTATGATTATATTGATATGAGTTCTGGTAGTGGGTGGGATCAGGTTCGTAAGAAAGCTGAAGAGGAGTTTGAGAATGAGGATCAGAGATCCGATGAAGTTTGTTGAGTGTTGGAACTTTGATGTGTTTGTGCCTTTTTGTTACTGTTTTGTCTTTTGTTGTGCAAAGATAATTATGCTGAGAATTGTTCTGCTTGGTTTCTCATTTGTTGCGGCAACTCGCAAACTTGATTAGATGTTTGGCATTAGTTGTTTCGTTTGCGGTAGACTGGTATGATTCGGTGCGGTTTATGACTTTACAGAAATAAACCAAACAGTAAAAATAAAATCAGTTTAAGACGGATGATGTCAGAACATTTGAAATTGCGAAGTTGGTTATATAATAAACACAAATCTCTCTCTGTTTTAACCATATTTTCCACCCGCAAGCTTAAGCTTGATCTCTTCTTCGTCGTTTTGAATCTTCGAAAGGTCAATAACTTTCTCCTTACTTAGATTATTCTCCACGATTTCAAATTTCAAATCCAATCTCGAGATAATCCCCTATATATTAATTGAGAAACATTTAAAAAAATGTAATCTCAATTTTGTAAAAATTAAAAAAGGCCTTTTGCCTATGTGTCAATCAATTAGATAGTTAATTAATCCTACGTGTCAGCCTCACATTCAAATTGAAAAACATGTTGGTCCAATTCAATTTTTATATCCCACTAGAAACATTTATTACTATAAAACAAAGTGTTATATCATATGATATTAATTATTTAATTTTCTTTCCTGAAATAAATACGACAGAATTACCAAATATGACTAATACATAAATGATAATTAATGATTCTAATAATAAAGATTTGATAACAATCTATATCTCCTCCATCGTTTTTATCTAATTTTATATTATTGAAATAAAGTAAACAATTCAATTAGTTATAAAATTAAAAATTTAGATTTTTTTCGTATATGTTATATTTTGAATTTTAAAAAATGACAATAAATTACTAAAACGTATTATGTTAAAAATTAATGATCAAAGGTGTAACATCCCTTATCCCTTATATATTAATTTAGAAAAATAGGCTGGTCCATCTTAATTTATATTATAATTTTTATTAAACTAACTATTAAATTGATAAATAGTGTACAAAAAAAATTCCCGCACTTACTTTAAATAGCAACTATGAAGTTACTTAATATGATTAACGTATTTTTGACAATAAATGATTATGAATAATAAATATTTGATAACAATATTTGTATATTAGCTCTTTTTCTTTAATTTGATATTATTAAAAAATATTACCCAGTCACATTAACCATACAATAAAAAAAAATTTTTCTTATATGTTATATTTTGAATTTCTTAAAACGGCAATAAATATGAAAATTTTAAATCCCACTTTGAAATGTTTGTGATCAATTGATTAATTTGTTCTGTTATAACAAAATACAAATGATCATAAAATTGTATTAATATAGATTTTTATTTAAAAATATTCAAATTAAATTATATATATATATATATATATATATTCAGCTAACAATTTAAACCAAGAAAATTAGCTGTGTTAATTTAGCTTACAGTTGAAACCCTTCAAAACTATGTGAAATACTAAGGTCAAAGTAATTCAATTTTAGAAATAATAGTAAGCTGCTGGTTCTAATACCATTAAAATGGTTCTTAGCGATATTAAAATAAAATATTAAAAAAAGTTGTGAAACTTGTTTTTCTTTCGTGCTTCTATTTTGTTTTTTATTTTTTATTTTCAAAATTTAGAGCTTTAATATTAATTCTTGATTTGATTATTTTATTAGATGATAGAAGCATTTTTTTGTTTTTTATTCTTTTATTTAAATATATAATATTTTTTAATAAATGAATTTTTGACAACATGACTCTAAATTCGTATAATATATGATATGATCTCAAACTAAATATTTATACTTTTTGATATAAACATCGAATAACACAAAAACCAACAGTATATAAACTGAACCGAACCGAAGTAAATTAGATTTAGAATAGTTATTATATTTTACTGACCGAAATACCTTTTTATTTTGAAACACGCTAACCGAAATACCAAAAAAAAACAAAAAAATAGAACCAAACCAAAACAAATCGATATCCAGATTGAACACCCCATTCCAAATGAAACCGATTTATTGTTTCATTATCCAAAACATAATAAAAATAACAATTTCATTCCGCGCAAAGCGCGGGTCTTATCCTAATTTGATTGTTATGTTTGATAGACACTCTTTGCAGCTTAGTTTAGTTCTGGGTTTGCCTTTCTTTTTTTTTTAATTGGGTTGCGCTAAATTTAAGTTAAATTTTAATCTTTCTAGGTTTCAGCTAAGGTACGAAGCCTTATATGGGACAAGGATTCCACAACGGTCTTATGGACAATACTTTCCATTAGCCTGTGAGTTTGGATAATTCGGTTTATTCAGTTCAGCCACAATTTTACCGAAGTGAACCGGAAAAAATCAGTGCGGTTTTCGGTTTTTTTTTCCGTTTTAAATTTAATTTCCAAATTAACCGATTTTTTTTGTTTCGGGTAGATTTTGGTATAATTTTCTAAAAAAATTGGATATTTTTGGTTAAATTCGGTTATTTTGGATAATTCGGTTTGGAAATTTGGTTATTTTTGGATATTTTCGGTTTTCATAATTTTCAAAAAGAAAAAAAAAATCAAAAATCAAAAACCGAAAACCGAATTAATTTTTAAAACCATTCCTAACCAAACTGAAATCAAGACCAAAACCGAACCGATAACCGAAAATTTCGGTTCGGTTAAAACTCGCACGGCTACTTGCCATCTCCGGTCAGTTTGAGGCTTATTCTGGATCTTTTTGTTATGATCAGTTAATTACAGTATTTGACATGATTATGTTATTACTCTGATTTAGATGGTGTTATTCAATCATGTATTTTAAAAGAGTTTAAATCTAAACACAATCCATTGTTATTTAATTGACGATGATTTTAAATTCTATTTTAAAATTCAATATTATTCAATCTATGATTGAATTTCAGGTTTTAAAAACTGGTGTTATTCAACTTTTAAGGACTTTAAAATTCTTTGTAATACGAATGGATTTCAAATCATTGGTGATGGATTCTAATGAATAAATGATTAAATTCAAAATTCAAGGGGTATTGCAGATATTTTAGAATCCATCAACTTTAACAATCTTAAAATTTTAAAATTTGTTAGATTGTAAAATATTTAGAATTGATTTTAAATCACTAATTGAATAACACCCCCTAACAAACTAAGAATCGTGTTCTTTGTTAGCAATCACTCTATTTCCTTGGCTAGGGGTAGATGCTTGTTGGTAATGACTCGAATCCCAGCTTTTCTGACACTTGATTGGTACTTATTGACATCTTGTTTTTTGGGTTTCAGGATAACCATTAGGGAGGGAGAGAGAGAGAGAGAGAGAGAGAGAGAGAGAGAGAGAGAGAGAGAGAGAGAGAGAGAGAGAGAGAGAGGAACGACAAAGATGCTGACTTTGAAGAACGAGCAAGATGCAAAGGAGGGAGAGATAGTGAGGAAGAAGGAAGATCTCATTCCTCTTCCTTGCATTCTCATCAATCTTACTTCTCATCTCTCTCTCAAGCCATGCTTAATACTACTCAAACTGCTCATGATGTCTCGTTCCTGCTGTTTTTTTCGTTTCTCTTCTCTCTCTCTTGTAGTCTCTCTTTGTCTCTCTCAAGTGAACAAAGAAGAAGTCACTGTAAAGACACAATATTTCAGTGTCCTTCGTTGTGCTTCATCTCAAACAGACCGTCCTCAAATAGACCGTATGTACCTGATAACAACAAAAAACAGAACATAGTAAATCACAGAAACTAAGAAACACATCATTAAAGCCTTTGTAGTCTCCATTCCCTTTAGCATCAACCCAGAACACATTCCTCAAAACAAGATTTGTAGAAGCCGGAAAACCGGATCGACATAGACGATATAAGAAAGATGGAGTTAAGGAAATAGATATTTATATAAGACATGGAGGCGAGATAAATCTCTTTCCTTAACTCTTAATATTCGCTCCGTAGTGAGACGAAACTGTACGAATATCGAGTCCCAGGATACAACCATGGCAGACGAATCACGCTTCACTCGTGAAACGACCTAACGAACTAAGTTCTACGAGAAAATGAAGCTGCGTTATGCCTGTTGTCTCGGTCTACATAAAACATCGGTTGGTTCAAGACATCATGTTCACCTTCTGGTAAAGTAAACCCGACAGATATTAACTATGAGTGGTTCAAGGCTTAAAAATGCCACCAACTCAAACACAGTGAATTTTTCGCAAACACTCTCGATAAGTCTGTCTAGTCTAGTCTAGTCAGGATAAAATAAGAATTTTTAATTAGAGTCTATCGAGTCTGCATATAGTCTGCATATTTTTAGAGTCATTTCTATTAATGTGGGGGATTGTTGGATCTCTGTTTTGAGAAGCTGATCTTTTTTGATTTTCCGGCGACTTTTCCGGCCAAACCGGTGGTCGTTCCGGTCAGATCATCAGCTCGTTATAAAGCTTGTAACGAGTACTACAACGTGGTATATTCACACTTTAAAAACATATCAAAATTGAATAAGAAATGATGCAATGAAGTTGGTAGCATAGTGTTTTCATAAACACTGTAATTTTGTCTAAGGGACAAAATTAATACCATCCCACATCGGGGAAATGAAGTGGAGTTGAGTTGTATATATATGCACTCTCACTCTCACTTAATTAAAGAACTCAGAGGAAGAAAGAGCTCTCCACGCGCGCGCCGCCGCCGTCCGGCTGGCTCGGCTCGGCGTGGGTTTGGGCTTGGGCTTGGGCTTGGGCTTTATTGGATGGTCGTTGGCCCGATAAGAAGTTATCTTTTTGGACCAAATAAAGCTCAACGCTTTGCAATTTTTAAATTTAAAAACAGCATGACGTGCGTGAATAAACAACACGTAGTTTGTGTAAAAACAACACGAAGTCTACCTGTTTGCAAAACAATTTGAACGAGTCAAATAAAAGAGAAGATCTTGCGGAGAAAGTTTCTGAGCTTCCACTTCCGAGATCTCAGCGAGATTTTCGCCCACGTGCAGCAGTTGTTGCGGGAAGTGGGTCTTCTCTGTCTCTTTAAATATTGCCTCTCCTCCTTCTTCATTCTCAACTTTTTCACGCAAGTAATCCAACAGAAAACCTCCCAAAGTAAGTCGAGAGAGTGTTTCGTAATTCTTTAGTTCGTTAGGTCGTTTCACGAGTGAAGCGTGATTCGTCTGCCATGGTTGTATCCTGGGACTCGATTTTCGTACAGTTTCGTCTCACTACGGAGCGAATATTAAGAGTTAAGGAAAGAGATTTATCTCGCCTCCATGTCTTATATAAACGTCTATTTCCTTAGCTCCATCTTTCTTATATCGTCTATGTCGATCCGGTTTTCCGGCTTCTACAAGATCTTCATTAAATTCAACAGTGTAAAAGAACTTATGATTCTCTTCATGCATAGGCATCAAAAACTCGAGAAGAATCTTAGCTGCTTGTGGAAGAGCTGAACGTACAATCACCGTCGCCATCCACACGATCTCTCTATCTCTCTCTCTCTCGTCGTTGTTTCTATGTCGGGAAGATAGAAAAAATCATTAAGCCCCAATTAGATTCTGATTTCATCCCAATTCAACTGTTTTTTAACAAAGTCGGGTCGATTTCTTTTTTCTGGGTCGGGTGGGTTCTATTTTTAATTGGGAAATCAGTGCTTTCTAAACGCGATTTTAATTCTACTAATTTTGATTTCTAAATTAATTAGAGAGGGGGATAAGAAAAGTTTAGGGGAAAATTTAAAGAGAAAGTATATCATCAGGTGGGTTTATGAAGAGCTTGATAGTTTAGGGAGGAATAAGTACGGTTAGTCTATGTAAAAGGGGGAATAGGCAGGCAACCCGTTGATCTTACTTTCGGCCTCACAGAATCGTAACTCTTTCGGTAATCGGTTAAGTCAAAAAGAAAAGATATGTATCTTATAGATCACAACTCGGATGCCAAGTGATTGCAAGACCAGAACTTGATGGATTGCCTTTAGCCATTCCTTCAGCCACAAGGAACTTGGCAGTTGATGGATTTGTTCCTTAACCTCATTAGTTTTTCGGAGAGATGATTAATCTCTCTTTTAAGAATATTGATTGTTTTCTATTGAGAAAAACTGAGTTATTTCATAATCTTAGTTCCCATCTTTGCGTTTCTTGTTGACTGTTTTTTTTTAAACAGAGCCAGCTTTAATCAAATTTCTCTTGGGGATTGATTTCTTCAATGTTGCAGATTAAATTTAAATCTTTTACTCAAAATGTAAATGAAAAAATAACATATTCTTTAGTTATATAAATAACAGAAAAACAAAGAGTTGTGCAGATGCAAGACATATTAACCGGACACGGAAGTGTTAAGAATAGATAATGAAAAGATTTAACCAGCTAACCCTATTCATCTAGGTAGGCAGGTCGCTTATATATAATAATAGTCATCATCAGAATGGTCACTATGACCTGCAAAGCTATGGTAGTAAGAATCAGCAGCCATGAGAGCCCATGGGCTATCATCTTCAGATGAATCAATGTCGTAAAAATTCCCAGCATATGGGTAATCATCAATCAAGTCATAAGGTAGTTTTAAAACTTTGATCCTCTCCGAACATCCCATCACCAGATCTACTACATTGTAAACGTTGAAACAATGACGTAAATCAAGATGTTCCAGGTCAGGACAATTATCAAGAATGACGTTTAAGCCAACATTTGTTAATATGTTTCCAAAAAGCTGAAGGAAGCGAAGTCCATGCATCGTTTCAGCTATAGCTAAGGCATCAACATCACTCTCGTAACTAGGACGCATGAATCCAATGCGGTTTAGCTTCAGCGTCTTCAGATTAGGAAGAGACTTTCCTACAACTTTCAGAGATTCTCCGGACAAAGAGCAGTATGAGACCTCGAGTTCTTCAAGCAATGGAAGTTTCAGAATTGCTTCCGTAAGTCCATCAGTTGTTATTGGAGAGCACATTGCAAGTCTAAGGCTTCTCAGGTTTCTTGACCTGCAAGTAATTGAGTGTTATTGTTAAAAAAACTGAAGCCAAGTAAAAGACAAAGAACAATAAGACGGAGAGATGCTTTACCTGTCGCTATCAGCAATGTAGTTGAGGAGAGAATCAGTACCGAAATGCCAAATGTCAATCTCAACCAGTCCTCCCTTGCTACGATCCACTGCGTGACGGCACATGGTCTCGAGGTTCAACCCCAAGTCCCCAGAGTTACGCATGTCTATCTTACGCCACATCTCAGGGTCTTTGCAGACACGATACCATGATGTACACACTTTCTGAGCATTCTCTAATAAATCAATCGAGTCAAGCCTGCTTAAGATCGATGACGTTAATTCAGACGGAAGCTCCGCCCAGCCTCTACACTCACCGTCTTTCAAAGACAACGGCAAAGGAGAAAACGGTGTCAAGGAAGAGGAAGAATACATTTTTGTGTGGTGATCTCAAGTTGTCTCGAAGTCCATTAAATAAAGGGAGTGAGGTAGTTTCAACTTTCAAGACTTTTCGTAGACATCACCATCACTCAATGACCATATGGTCCCAAGGAAGATAACAACGGCGTTGAGGAGAGACCATGCATTGTCTCTTAATGGTTAAGTTGCCTCAAGTTCATTAAATAAGAGAGTGAAGTAGTTTCAACTTTCAAGACTTTTGGTATACGTACATCATCATTCAAAAAGACCATACAGTATATTCATGGTATTACGTTCTACAACTTAATTTAATTAGGCAAAGTAACATTAACATTAGGGCTTGGCGACTTGTTGACTTTTTAAATCACGATGTCATAATTCTCACACACGGGTGGTGGGAAATAGTCAGATACTAAGAGCACAATTATCAGGGAGGGGGTTCACGGCGCTTAGAGCATCTCCAATGTATTACTCCATTTCTACTCTAAAATGGAGTAACTTCAAAATGCAGTTGAGTTTTACTCCAATGTATTACTCAATTTTCTACTCCAAAATAATATTTTTAATATTATATTTATTTCAAAATTAGGAATATCACCTTTCATTTATACTATTTACAAAACAGTCAATTTTAAATTTATAGCATTTCTATTAAATACAATATTAACCACAATTAAATTTTTATTATATAAATAAAACTACTCAACAAGGTTTTAAAGAATACATTTAATACATTAAAAAATTACATTATATAGCTTAAACACAATAATACATCAATTCTAAATTATTCATTAGAATTATAATAATTTTCCCACAAATGATCAACT